TATTGGACTGGAATGGTGGGTCGTATTGGACTGGAATGGTGGGTCATATTGGACTGGGGTGGTGGGTCATATTGGACTGAAATGGTGGGTCATATTGGACTGGGGTGGTGGGTCAAATTGGACTGAAATGGTGGGCCGTATTGGACTAGGGTGGTGGGTCGTATTGGACTGGGGTGGTGGGTCGTATTGGACCGGGGTGGTGGGTCATATTGGACTGGAATGGTGGGTCGTATTGGACTGGGGTGGTGGGTCATATTGGACTGGAATGGTGGGTCATATTGGACTGGGGTGGTGGGTCATATTGGACTGGAATGGTGGGTCATATTGGACTGAAATGGTGGGTCGAATTGGACTGGGGTGGTGGGTCATATTGGACTGGGGTGATTGGTTTTAACCAGTTTTAAGGTTTGTTTTTAAACAGCATCTGTATTATTGTCAAAACAGTAAATCAGCTGAAACAACCCGATCAATGGTATAGACTCTATGGATGGTTTTAATGTTTTGGCAGTTCAGTGTTAATAAAACATGAATGTGAGCACTCTGTCCGTGGGTGAATAAAACCCAGCTGAAGCCACAGGGATGTTTGCTTCGATACACTGCAAGTCACTCCATTGATTTCACCACTTCAAAGCCTCTTTGATCTTTAAGAAGTAATATTTTTTACCACTTCCTTTGAACATTTGGATTTAAATATTTTCAAATTCAAACATTCTTCACGTACAGAGAGGAAATATCACACACCAACCATTAAACTGAGTTATTTTTTCTATTAAATCATTTTTAATAAATCACCTGAAGTTGAATCTTTGTGTAATTCCTGGTTAAAAATAATAATAAAAAGGGAATCACCGCTCTTAGATGATGTTTTCTGAGTTAATTTTGTATTAAAATAAATCACAGACGTGACACAAAACTTTTGTTTCTCTGTGTGTCGTCTTCAGGACACTTACCGGCCCCTGGGAGAGGACTTCAGCTTTGGCAGCACCGCTCTGTTTGGCCTGCTGATGATCGCCGTGGCCATAGCTACAGTGATTGTGATCAGCCTGGTGCTTCTGAGGAAAAGGCAATATGGCACCATCAGTCACGGCATCGTGGAGGTAAACTGGGACAACTGAGTTCCTAAGTGTCAAATGTATATTCAGTCAGAGATGCATTCTTTTTATCTCAACTGGTTTGTGATGTTTACGGAAGGATTTTAAGATGCAGTCGTGAAGGGGAGGATATCTTTTTTTAGGAACCTCAGGCTCTCGTTTCTACTTTATGCAGATGATGTGGTTCTATTGGCGTCTTTGAGCCACAACCTTCAACATGTTCGCAATCGAATGGGAAGCAGCTCTGATGAAAGTCAGCCCTTCTAAAATACGAAAATTGCGTTATTTTGTCCGCAGAGCAGCTTCATCCACTTCTTGACACAAGGCCTGGGCCGAACTTTATCTCACAGGCGAATGCGATAATTTCTGTACATTCAATGTTCCAATCTAATTGTACTGAAAAACATTGAACAATACCCTTAAAACAAAACAGACTTGTTTTAACTGGACATGAGGTAGGGCTCACAGCAGAGCAAAAGAGGACTGTGGCTGATTGAGAAGCTCATATTTTCCACTGATCTTATCCAAGTATCACCCGACCTCTCAATATTTAGGAAATCGGTGGACCCTTACTGGCAACAGTGTTTGGTTTCGGATCGAATATGTCGGGCCCTCGAGTCTGAGGCCATGGTTCTCAACTGCAAATGGGTGGAATGCCATTTCCAGGTTGGAAGGGGGTCTTTGCCACAAGTGGACGAGTTGAGGCATTGTTTTTCATGAGTCATGGTAGGACGGAGCGGGCGATTCATCGACAGATTGGGGATTTGTCCTCAGTAATGAGGGTGTTGCTTTAGTCAGTCATGTTAAGGCAGAGCTGATTTGAAAGGCAAAGCTCTTGATTTACTGGTCCATGTACGAAGTTTGGATCATGACCCAAAGAATGAGATCCCGGATACAAGCAGCTGAACGAGCTTCCTCCATAGGATGGCCAGACCCTTAGAGATTGGGGGGAGCTTGGATTAGATCTGCCGCTCTGCATCAAAAGGAGTTGGTTGAGGTGGTTTATGTGATCAGGATGCCTCCCTTTGGAGGTTTTCTGGGTACATTCCATAAGTAAGAGACCCAGGCAGACCCAGAAACTGCTGAACTTCCTGTCTACCTGGGATACCCAAGGTGTTCCCAGGTAGACAGGAAAGGGAGGTCTAGGTTTCTCTCCTGGACCTGTTACCTCCACAATCCCACTATGTATAATCAGTGTAAGATGGAGAACATCTTGTGTTAAAGCTGTTTTGGTCAAATCTTGATCTCCTGAGGTTTTCGTTAGCGCTCATTGTTGTCTCCTCACCGTGTCCCGTCTCACAGGTGGACCCCATGCTGACCCCAGAGGACCGACACCTGAGCAAGATGCAGAACCACGGCTACGAGAACCCCACCTACAAATACCTGGAGCAGATGCAGATCTAACCGCAGCCTGCAGAAAACCGAGCGGGGAACATACTACTGACCAATAACACATGCAACGCTCTTGTTAAAAACCATTTCTACACATCCAAACGGCATTTTACCGGTTTGTTCGGAAACAATCCTTAAGTAAAAGCTACTACTGCTACTGTTGTACTATAGAGCTCTTTTTGATCATGTTTATTTAGAGAAGTTTGCAAAAAATAAAATGATCCATCTGTAACTATCAGCACAAATCAAGATGTATAACATTTCTTCCGATGTTTGTTTTTTTTTATTATTATTATGTGAGAGGAAAATCAGACTAATGTTTACGACACGACTCTTGGGTTTTTCCATTCTTGCGGCGTGTCGATGGTGAACCTTCTGACGACTAAATCATCAGTGTTTTAATTTCTTCTTTTTAATCTTGATAGATTGCTTGTATATTAAGGTTCTTTGTACCGATTATTAAAATGTTTAGTGAGAACAACAAAATGGAGAAAAAAAAGTGAAATGATTTCTTTATGATACAAGATATAAGATTTAAATATGAATATATAAGATTAGAGGTTTTTATTCCATGGTTTTTTTGTTTTTATTTCACAGGGAGGAGGTTTATTGGAGGGTTTGTAGTTTTTGCTCGAGGGTGAAGGTTTGCACAGACCCCCCAGCTCAAACTCTAAACTTTGACTAAACTGAATGAATGAATGTGATCATTTCCCCCTCCGACACACACAGGAGCAGGATGAATTAGTTTGAATGTATTACTTCCCTCACCTTACATTCAATAAGTTCCTTTAAGGCGTTCATTTGTTTAATTTTGTGTCAAAAATTCCTTGGATTTATTTATTTTTTTAATATACAAACTAAAAAAGAAAACTTGGGAGACGATGCTCACCCTCGTCGATGTTGACCGGTATGCACAAATACATATCCAATCGTAAATTACCGAAGATGCAATTTTTCCTAAAATAGAAATGCCCAGCCAGCCCTGGGTCAAAGCATGTTATTTTATTTTATTTTATTTTATATTTTTTGGAGCTGGAGGGCTGTGCAGGCAGAGATGCACAGAAAGACCAGGCTTAGAGAACAAATTTAAAAAAGCAAATGTGTGTTTTTACAGGTGAAGAACGACACAAACAAGTGAATCCTGATCCTCTTTTCTCTTAGTATTGTCCGTGTATGCCTGTATAGTTGATGTTGCAATCATGGCTTTTATTTTTATTTTTACCCCCCGGAGGACTTTCTGTGGTGTGCATTGTTCTTATATGAACTTATATGAAAAATGTTTTTATTTCTAGTTTTTGTTCCTCTTCCTGTGACAGTATATCCGTATGTGACTGTCTCACTATGCACCCAAACAGCTTCAATCTTGTAAACTGCCTGCTTGATTGTGGAAGAGGACTGGGGACTATAATTCTAATTATACATAATATTAGTGATTTAAAAAAATTATCAACATCAATGGAAACCGATCTAAGATTACAAAGGGGGATACACTTCAATAAACTCACAACAAACAAATCTGTTGTCTTTTTTTAATTTGTGGGTGGATAAAATTTAAAGTTAAAGAATTGTTCTATTTATCATTTTTTGTTTTTTATTTGGGTGGTAATTCATGAAAAAGTTCAAATAAGGAAAAAAAAATTGTCTTTTAAACCATAAATGGAGAAAAGGGTCCAAAGTGGTCCTGGTACTCGTGTTATCCTGAGGGAAAAACATTCTGATAAGGCTAATGGCTAAACAAAGGAGGGTCGGGT